GACGGCTTCCTCGGAATCTGCTTCAACACACGACGGACGGAGCTTAAATATGAGCATCAGGAGCATGAAGACCTCACATCACAGCCTCCACAGGACAGGACCACAGACCAGAGGAGCAGGGACCAAACTGAAGTCTGGACCATCACAGGATAACAAGTCAGTTTTAAATGTCTTCCTTACCTTTGCTAACCTTTTATTTCAAACATTTAAAACTAGTATTCTTGATATTTTTGCACCATTTTTTAGAGTTTGTGCTTGAATTTCAATATTTGTCTGCCAACTAAATGCATGTCTATTCCCAGCAGCTGGGATAAGCTGCACAGCTAAACATCTGCATGCTAGAACAAGCAGAAATACCTGAAATGAATGTGAAAGAAACAATGGCAAAAAGGAAAGCGCTCGAAGGTAAATCAGGAGAATGATACAGAAGGGCAAAAAGTAAGAATTGATTTAATGGAGCTTATTATTATTATTATCTCAAAAAGATGCTGTCATGCACAAGAAGTGTGTGCAGTTTCCCAGTGACAGGCGCTGTTATATAAAGTATGTGAGATCTTGGTGTAGTTTGAAATGCCCTGATCGTTGCTTAGAATAAACATTAAATGAAAATATGTGATACAGTCATCAGTGGTCACCTATATGTGCAAAGTGGTTCCATCAGTTTTTGGATTCATGATGACAAATAAACTGGTTTTCATTAGCAAATATCTGAGGCTGCTTTGATTAGAAAATGATTGAAAGAAAATAAGAATATTGTGCCACCAGTGTTTAAATGCACACTGAGTTGGTGTTTGCTGTGGATTCTTGGAATCTCATTGTGGAATACGAAACGAATTATTATTTGAATGAAGTCTGAAAAAGGCCGAACAGATTCTTTGATTTAGGAGACACGAAGTTTGGGGAGAGTCAAACTTTGACTTCGTGACTTTCTGGTTTCATTATTGAGCCTGGAATTACTCAGATTACACGATATATTTTATAAGCCTGACACTGAAACTAAAAACGAAACAAATTTCTTTCACTTTAATTTCCGCAGCACAGAAAACTTTGTGCTTTTCTTTTGGTGGAGTTTTTGCAAAACACTTCAGAAATCCGACAAATGATTCCTCTACACTTTATAGATTTATGGTTTATTTGGAAGGAGGTAAAAACGTCCATTTGCTTTGTATTTTTCCACTTTTTGTGTTTTGAATATGAAGCGAGATTAAAGTTGGTCTTTTTTAATCTGACAGGTGCAGCAATGTCACCGAATTATTTTTTAATTATTTGAAAATTTCACATTTACTAACAGCCTGACGGTCAGCAGAGCAGGGGTCCGCGGGTCGTTGTGACCCCGCTGACCGATATGTCAGGGTGATGTTCTCGCCAGCAGCGCGCGTGTGTGCGCGTAAATTGCGCACAGAACGTGCTCCTCTCTCTGTGGTTCAAGACCAGGTGCGCAGAGTCCGCAAAGGTCTTTCTATTTCACTAAATAAAACTACACCACAAACTAGCGATGACAAAAAAGTTTTTAAATAAAAATTTAAAGTACAGTCGAAACAAATGAAAACTATCTGAAATGATATTGCACATGAATAAAATTCAACAGGAAGCGTCCTTAATTTATTCTTTCTTATTTTGGTCAAATTTAACTCCCACGTCCCCTTAAACAGACGCATGGAGCGTGTGTCGAAATCTCCATTCTGATATTTCTTCCGC